TGAGTGTTTTGTTGGAGGGCTCTGCAATCGAACACGTGTTACATAAACTTTGACTCTGCTGAGATCCACTGTGTCAGCTGCTCAGCAGTCAGTTGTAAGTGGACAAATGCCATGGCGGAGGTGGCACTGGAGGTGACCTGTACCTCTGCATTTTTTCCACTGGTTTTAGACAAAGTAGAAGAGAGGGAGGGAGAGAGAGAGACAGACAGAGATATACATATGAGAGACACACTTGATTGCCTCCCGTGTACCCTTGACCAGGAATCAAACCCGGTACAAGGGCAGATGCTCCAACCACTGAGCCACACCAGTCGGGACTAGATTTATATTTTATTTTTACGTTTTTAGGGTCTTTGTTATAAGTAGATATTGCATTTCATTAAAAGTTTTTTCTGCATTTTTAGAGATTTCTCTAAATTTATTTTGCACTTGCAATTTACATTTGATATTATTTTTATTAGTTTGAGGTGGTCTTCAGAATGCCTGGATAATTTTAATCCTTCATTGTGATCTGTTTACATGGTATATTATATTGACTCTTTTAAATGTCACTGGATTGATTTCATAAATAAATTTACACCTTTTTTCTATTTAAAGTGATAAAAATGTAAATTTCCTTCTTCGCATTGACCAGCCTTGTCAGGTTGGCTATTAAGGTCAAGTTAGCCTCATAAATTGAGTTAGGGAGTGATCTTTCTGTTATTCTTGCATATGAGGACTTTACAAATATTTGGTTTATTTTTTCTTAAATGTTAAGTAGAGATTGGAGTTGGAGTAAATAGAACCCAACATTTTCTTTTGGAGATATTTTAAATTACAGATCAAATTGCTATAATAACTACAGGATTGCTCATCTTATTTATTTTTTAATTATTTAAAATATTTTTTCTTTATTAATTTTAAAGGGAGAGGGAGAGAGAGATAGAAACATTGATGAGAGAGAACATCAATTGGCCACCTCCTGCATACCCCCAATAGGAATCGGGCCCACAACCCCAGCATGTGTCCTGACTGGGAATCAAACTGGCGACCTCTTGGTGCAGGGGTTGATGCTCAACCATTGAGCAACACTGGCTGGGCCGGGATTGCTCATTAAAAAATATCTTCCGGCATCTGTTCTGATATTTTTTTTGGAATTAATATATTTCACTAAAATTTTTAAATTAATTTGAAAAATGTTGTTTATACTATAATTTCAACATAATTATAATGTCTGTAGGCTCTGAGTGTAGATATTAGTAATTTATGGCTTCTCATTCCATGAGTATTCATATCAAATAATATTTTTGCTTTTGATGATTACCTATTTTACTTTTTTTTAAATATGTCATTAAAGACTGTATTCAATACTTTCTTATTTCATTTAACTTTGCTTTTGGATCTTTCTCTTCTCTTATGCTCTCTAAACTTTTTTTCTCTGTCTCCTAACATTTTGTACTCCTTGGTTGAAATTCCCAGTTTCTTGATTTCACGATTTTCAAAGGCATGCGCATAGATTAAAATTCTAAAACTAGCCTCTGCTGGATCTCTCAAGGTTGATATGGCATATCTTCACTGTCTTTTGGTTCAACCTGTTTTTTAACTTCCTTTTATGTTTTTTCTTTGATTTGTGCATGTTTGTTGTTTAAGCTCTAAACATTTGAGGGTGATATTCCCGTTATCTTTAAATACTGTTCTCTGATTTAATTCCTTTTAGGATGCCGCACATCGTTGAATAATAAAACTTATTTGAGACCAAAACACATAATTATTTTTTGCAGTTTCCAGTAAAATTTAAAAAGTGTGTACTAGATTTTTGTTGAGTCTAGTGTCCTAAATGTCAATTAGGTAAATTTTATTAAGTATATAGTTCAAAATCTCCATACCTTGATAGATTATTTACTTTCATCTAATTGCTTATTTATTGAATTGTGTTAAAGTCTCCTTCCATGATTATCAATTTGTTTATTTCTTTTGTTGTTTCATCAGTTTTTAATTTATAGCTTTTAAAATGATGTTATCAGATACATGAAATCTAATCATTACTATTGATATCTTTAGATTTGACACTGCATCATTATGAATTTTTTTACTGTTGTTAATCCTCACACAAGAATATTTTTTCTGTTGATTTTTTTTAGAGAGAGCAGAGGGAGGGAGGGAGGGGGAGAGAGTTAGAGAAACATCAGTGTGAGAGAGACACATCAGTTGGTTGCCTCCCACACCCACCCCGACCAGGCCTGGGTTCAAACCTGTAACCCAGGCACCTGCCCTTGGCTGGGGATCACACCTGCAGCCCAGGCACCTGCCCTTGGCTGGGGATCACACCTGCAGCCCAGGCACCTGCCCTTGGCTGGGGATCACACCTGCAGCCCAGGCACCTGCCCTTGGCTGGGGATCACACCTGCAGCCCAGGCACCTGCCCTTGGCTGGGGATCACACCTGCAGCCCAGGCGCCTGCCCTTGGCTGGGGATCACACCTGCAGCCCAGGCACCTGCCCTTGGCTGGGGATCACACCTGCAGCCCAGGCACCTGCCCTTGGCTGGGGATCACACCTGCAACCCTTTGGCTCTAAGCGTGAGCTACTCCAGCCTCAGCTAATTTTTTTCTTTTTATTTCCAGTAATAATTCTTGCCTTAAGTCTACATTTTCTATTAGTATTGGTAGGCCAGTTTATTTTTGGCTGCAGTTAGTTTCTAAAAATTTTCCATTCTTGTCTTCACAAACTTTCTGTACACTTATGTTTTAGATTTGCCTTACATTTATATTTTTAGAATATCCAGAACATAGTCTTTTTAAATGAAAATAAATTGAGGCACAGGATAGTATTATCATCATTTACAGAGGACTTTCATTTTCTTTAGCCAGGAGTCTGAAATAAATAAAATCTAAAATCATCATGAATCATGTCCATGAGTTTTTTTCTCTTTTGTTTCTTTCTTGTTTCTCTACACCACCGCCCCCCTCCCCTCCACCCCCCACAGCTGTCAGTCTGCCCTCTCTCTCTGAGTCTGTCCCTGTTTTGCTTGTTAGTTCATTTTGTTCATTAGATTCCACACATGAGTGAACCCATATGGTACGTGTCTTTCTCTGACTGGCTATGTCACTTAGCATAGTGGTCTCCAGGCCCATTCATACTGTGGCAAAGGGTAAGTTTTTTATGGTCAAGTAGTATTCCATTTTGTAAATGTGTTATAGCTTTATTATCCCCTCATCTACTCGTGGAAACCTGGGGGCTGCCAGGGAGTGGAGGAATGGAGGTGGAGGAGGGTAAAGGGGAAATAAATGGTGGTGGACAGACTTGACTTGGGGTGGTGAACACACAATACAGTGTACAGATGTGTTGTAGAATTATGCACTTGGAACATAATTTTATTAACCAGGTCACCCCAATAAATTCAATAAAAGTGAAAATAATCATCATGAGTCATTTCAAGGTTGACATTTTCTGAATCATACAAGGTTGTTCTTGTAAGAGCTCAATGACGTCTGGCTCAGCACTGTTGCTGGGACGCAGGCGCCTGTGACCTGCAATGAGAGTGAAGTGCTCACTGAGGCTCACCCCGCTCCGAGGGTCCTGAGCTTTGCCTCATGTCCTGAAACAGGCTGAAGAAAGTATCTCAACCTTCGCTGGCCCCTTCTGCACTGGAAAATGCCCCTTGGCAGAAGCTGATCCACATTTGGAATCACCTTTATCAACCACTTTATTTCTATGAGGTTTTTGTTGTTGCTTTTTTCTGGTAATGCTTTATTTTATAGCCTATAAAATATGTAGTGTTTTAAGCACATATAAAGAGTAACATTTTTAGTGTTTTCTAAGGCAACTTCATTTAGCGGGTTGTCTGATTACATAAAGTACAACAACTGGAAGTGTACAATAATTACCTCCTAATTTTATTCTATCTCAATTATTCTGACAAATTATATATCCTTCTATAGTTACCTAAATCATTTTCCTTTTTCCTTTATGGTATTTTCAGCTAGAAAACTTCATTACTCTTTTATTTTTTTAATTTATTTTTTTTATTACAGTTGATATGCAATATTATATTAATTTCAGGTATACAACATCGAGATAAAACATTTACATTCCTTACAAACTGACCTCCTTGTCTTCACTGGTTAATAATAACATAAGAGAAACTAGCTGTAGTAATTGATTCTTTATCATTGCTTATATTGCCAGGTAGATACTTAATCAAATAACATCATAATTTTAAAAGAGTTAAAAGAATGGAAGTTTTAGAGTAAGAAAGAACATTCTGCCAACACCAACACCAAAGTAAATTATGTGATGTAGAAAATATATTCTCCCAGGCACCTCTACCACGTAGTCTGTGGTAAGAGATAAATAAAATGACATATGAATATATTTTCACTAATGTAATATTCATTTAATAAATGTTTATGTACATGTTTGACCTTCACCTCAACCAAAGGATAAAAAGAGGAGTGACCATTTAATTTTCTTTTGGAAATTGATCCACTTCAATTTAAAAGCTAGAAGCAAAGGACTTGTCACTGCCGTTTGATATAGGAGTAATGCTTGGACAATGCTTAGTCATCCTAGATCAGTGACTACACCCAGCAAGCACAGGGGAAATACTGTACACCATACTAATGCTCATAACATCTTTGACTTATCTCATTATCCACTTGATTATTTTATCCTGGGATCACATTCCCAGATAGTAAAATGTCACTAATTGGGAAACAGACAGTTTTAGTCAATGAATTCAGTTCCAAAGAAATATTTTTATACTACACATGGTGGAAAGTGGGAAACATCATTTATGCCAAGTTGGATTATGGAAACAAATAAACATTGGATAAGTGCTCATGGAAACATATTACAAATTTTTATTAGTGTTCACATATAGGTATTGAAGGCAAATCTTGTTAATGTACTTTTTGCATCAATTAACTTAATACTTTTATGAGAGCACTAAGATGTGGAAAAATACACATAACACATCTGATGTGAGACTTTGGGCAGTAATTACACTGAATTGCCTTGCAGATAGTCTATATGGGGTGGTGTGAAGCACGGGAGCAGGACCCTCTTCAAGACTGTGTGTACTCGCCAGTGTTTCTAGCCCTCAGGGGCTCCTGCCTTTACAAGTTTCTGGCACCTCCAGTAAGTATTTTTGACCCACATTCTTATCTGTCCATATTATCATAACAGAATGACATCAAACTCTACAAATCATATGTTACCGATATACTTTTAAAGTAAGCTACAGAAAAAAAGAAAACCAAATGTTTTTGAGTAGATTTTGCTAAATATATGCATTGTAGCATTAAACATTATATTATAATCCTTGAAAAACCTAGAAATCTTTTCTACTGAAGCATTTATGAGAGTCAAGTTATGTTTATGTAACACAAATCTGTCTATATCCAATCATCATATTTTTGATATTCTATATGCTAGTCATTTGGCTTTGTATTAAATATGTATGGGTATCTATTGCACCTAATATCTTGCTTTTGAAACATGGATTTTACACAACAGTAATTCTCAATAAATATTTATTGAATAGAAATATCAAATGTCAGACCCCTCACTTGGAGGTCTAATAATGCATAAGGTCTTAGAACTGTCAAGTCTGACTTACTGCTGTTTTAAATGTCTATGTACAAAGTTCAAAACACCAGTAAGGCAGGTTAAAAAGCCATTAATATTTATTTTTACTATATTACTGCTCTGAATAATTTATTATGACTGAAAAGATAGATATATGTTTCAAACTTTAGTGAGTAAAATATCATCATTGTGGTGTTTGGTGTCTTCATAATTTTGTAAAGTGTTCACATCTTGGAATGACTTTTAATATAAATTATGTCTTTCTAGAAAATTAAACCCAGGGTTGCTATCTAGCATTCTCCTTTGTAGGTAATGAGCAGTAAATGAAAATAATAAAATTACATGAGTGAAATACTAATACTTAGTATTTATTTGTAAATAATACACACATTATTTAAAATACGTAAATACACTGGGCAAGTCGAGATCGGTGCGTGTAACAGGAGGTGTTTGCTGAGCGAGAAGAGAAACGGCGATAAAGCCTCCAAGACAGAAACCGCAGCTGCCACGTGAACCCCGGACAGAGGAGCTCACAGCCGAGAGACTGCATGTGACAGGTTCCCTTCGACCCACAGTGTATAAATAGCATAAAGACAGGAACAGGAGCATCTTTCTGAAACAAATGGCATATTGTTTCTCATTTTTTAAAGGTGACAACGTGGGACTGGACCCGAGCAGAAAAAACCTTTTCAGTTTATGAGATCATGTGCAAGATTCTCAAGGTATGATCAGTCGGTAGTACAAGTTTTAATCGTTTTTCCTCAGCAAACAGTGTTCTGGCTCATAACTAGCTCCTGAAAAGAAAGGATGCATGGTTATAAAAGTAAATACAAGGTCAAGACAAATAAATTATGTATACCCTCAGTCTAGGGAGCAAACAAGGAAAAGCTTGGCAGAAATCTGCTGAGGAAGAAGTAGAAAGTGCAATTGGAAATGGTCTGAATTTAAACATCATTTATTACCATAGTATTTTGCTCAGTAAAATACAGCAGAGAAAGATTTGGGTAAGTCTTTGATTTAGAAAATGTAGAAGATATAAAGGCATATTGCAAAGGAAGGTCATTTTAAAAAACATTCTCAGGGTAAGGTTATCACTCTGAGTATGCAAAACAATATATAATCATTTTTAATCAATTAAATTTCTGTGCTATACACAAAATTGTTACAATAGTAAAGTATCAAGAATTCTTTAAAATTCCAAATGGTTCCTGTAGCCATTTTTAATAAAAAAGTGAGAATACTTTATAAAACCTAAATAATAATCTATACCCAGTCTCTACTCTGGGTTCTACAGGACTGGAAGTACTAAAGACTGATTATTAGTCCTTGTTAAGGTTGACCTTGTTTGTATAATCAAGAAGAACCAAGCTTTTTGAATGTCAATTATTTCTTGTTCAGTTAAAAACTCAGTAGAGGAGAAAATGTTGAAAACTTTACACATAATGAAACGTATCAAAAGTGTCTGAAAGCAGAGACAAAGGAAGATGATTACCTCAAGAATGTTCAGAATTTTTTCTCTATAGAATAATTCTAGATTAAAGCTGACGTTTAAAATAGCATGAAAGCAAAATAAAAATCTAGGTCATTGCTCGCTCATCACTGTGCATGGTTTCAGTTTGATTGTGGGAATAATTATGGAGGAACAACCCTGAAACACTTGAATTTATTGCTGGTAAAAAGCTCTGGAAACTTCTTCTTTTTAATCCTCACCCAAGGACATTTTTGCACTTATCTTCAGATAGAGTGGGAGGAGAGAGGGAGAAAGAGAGAGAGAGAAACATCACACTGGCTGCCACCCACATGACCCCAACTGGGGCCAGGGACAAATTGCAACCGAAGTACGTGCCCTTAGTGGGAACCGAACCCAGGTCTCTCTGGTCCGTGGGCCAACGCTCTAACCGCTGAGCCAAACCGGCCAGGGCAATCTCTGGGAATGTCTAAAAATCTGCCAGTATCTGAAAAAAATGAGATTGTACTCAACTCTAGTTAAATGAAATACTTACCAAAATGACAAATAAAATTGTTTTCTAATTGAATTTTGAGAAAAGAAAAACTACTGTAATTAAAAAGAAATAATAAAAAAAGAGAGGAAGGAAGGAGGAGAGAGAGGAAGGGAGGGGAAAAGGAAAAGAGAGAGAAAAAATAAAAATAAAGATAGAAAATCCTAACAAATCAGTGATTTTTTTGTCCACTCACTTATCATACATTAATATAACTTTTCATGCATTAATATAACTTTCATGTCTAACATGCATTACTGTATTCTTATTTAGACTTAAATTATTTCCAAACTGTTTCCAAGTGGCTAATGTGGTCTTTGTATCCTTCTATTTTTTTTAAATATCTTTAAACATTTAAAAATAATGTAGTTTATTATAATAATTTAAATAAGGACAATGTTAAAGGAGGTGATATGAATTATGTCTGGTTCCATATAAACAATATTTTATTTTTCTTTTAAAATATTTTTGCAAAGTTTTCTGATTTTTTATGTAAAGGTATGTCTTGAATGTTTTATGTAAATTAATATTCTTCCAACAATACTTTGTTTTTTGTTTTGTAGTTTTTATGTATCCAATTATTTGGCCATATTTACTTAGCTGTTTAGATATTTCCTCAGTCTGTCTATCAGACATAACAAAACAATTATTCTTCGACATTTAATAGATAAATGTTGATTATTGCCATATACCAGGTAATCTGCTAAGCACTCATGATGGCTGGAAAGAAAAGGCAGAAAAACAATCTCTGCTTTCATGGAACTGAAATTTTATCAGGGTGACACAGACGTTAAGTAAATATAAAAGGACAAAAAGATAGCAAAGAATTGATCTTTGTTCACACATTACATTACATAACTTTCAAGATAGTGCCTTTAACATAAATTCCAAGTTTGGGAATTCCTGGCTGGGAAATATTTAAATATTTTACTGACAATGTTTATATATCTAAGCTGACTTCTAGAAAAGCAATTCTGTGTATACTGCTATCACAAGTATTTGGATGTGCCCAGGTATTTCCACTCTGCCCAAATTAAGGCCAAAGAACACTTCTTATTTATCTTTCAACATAACATTTTCCTTAACCCTATTAGTTGCTTTGGGAAAATATTGATACAGGTTAATGAGTCCTGGAGATAAGTATTTTGACATTGAATAAAATACAAATTTCCTGTTACTGGTTTTATGTAAATAAGAACATGTTTCTACCATTATTGCATACAGCACTAATGTTCTATGCTTCATGGGTTTACAGTTGACTTACAATATTATGTACTGAGGATTTTTGGTACTAAAAGACATTTTATATAGCATGAGGACATATGCAGAGGGGTGGCCATCAGACTCAGTACTAAATAGATGATTTTCCTGCATGCAGATCAGCCTGGAGGCTCGCTGGTGTGACCAGAAGCCTGGTCTCAGGTGTCTGGATCTGGGTAGCAAACCTCAAAGAGGGCTTCTGACAGCCAGCCATCTCCGACTGCGAGGCAGAAGTTCTCTGCAAAGTGTGTGAGTCGGAGACTCCTGTCTCCAGGCAGGGATCACTTAGATAAGGCAAATTTAAAAGCACGATTTAACAATCTGGATCACAGAACATCTCTCCTGGAATCACCAATTGTGAAAACTCTCTTCTGATAGGAGGCTACACCAGCAACAACAAAAATGAGGAAATAATCACTACCCCGTGTACAGAGCCTACATACACACTCCAGTTATTGCTCTATCTGCCTTACACAACAATTTATTTAACGTTTAAAACACCACTATGAAGTCATTGTTATTCTCATTTCACAGATATGAAACCTGAGGCAAAAAAGTTTAAATAGCTCAAGAATAGATAACTAAAAATTTGAATCTTGCAATCTGTCACAAAATTCGTTCTTGTATGTTATACTAGATTGTCCCTTTCTTTCTTACTGTGAGCACTGACAGATCAGAAGGATGGGACTGAGAAGCCTGGCCAGGTGCTGAGGAGGGATGAACTCAGCACCTTCTGTAAACGGATTAGTCGCCGTCAACTCCAATTTCTGCATCTGTTCAATGGGGCTAATAAGGCATCCGGAGGTTATTGAGAAGATTATGAATGTATTAACTAAATGGTGAATGGGTTTTTCTTTCTTTATTCATATTATAAGTGCTCATCAAGTATTGCCTGTGTGCCGAGCACCCCTCTAGGCATTCGGGGTTCAGTGCTACTGTGCAGGAAAGGGGAGCTGACGAAGAGCCTTGCTGAAGGAATGTCAGGAGAACACTTTGGAGAAGGCCTTAAATAAACTTAAAACCTAAGTGATCATTCAAAGACCAAACAGATGGAGATGTGTTTCGTTGGGGCTGGGGTTTGGTGAGTGGGCGGAGAAAAGGCCTTCTGGGCACAGGATGCAACATGCACACTTGCCCAGGTGCACAGAGGTGTACACGGAAACAACCAAAACGTTCAGCATGGCTAGTGTGCTAGGTATAAGGTTTGTGTTCGTGTTGATGTGTGTTGGTGTGGGGGAAAGCTAATAGAAAAAATAAAAAGGAATATGACTCATTTAAAGAACAAAGGAGATAGATACACTGAAGGATTTTAAGCATGTGATGGGGGGTTGTTAGGGTGGAGGAGGGGCACACCAGGGGCTGCTGCCCAGATTCTGATCAGAGAACACATGTTCCGAACCAGGGCTGGGAGGTTGGGGAGGAGGAGACGGACGTGAGCAGAAGCCTGCGTAAAGGCCCCTGGTCAGTCACTGCACACGCGTGCGCAGAGGCCAGCCCTGTTCATCTGAGTTCTAACTTTCTAACTGCGGTAGAGCTGCAGTAGCTGGGAAAGGACACACCATGTTGCGCTTTTTTGTTAATCCTCACCTGAGGGTATTGTTTTCCATTGACTTTTAGAGAGAGTGGAAGGGAGAAAGGGAGGGAGGAAGGGAGGGTGGGGGAGGGGGGGGAGAGAGAGAGACATCGATGTGAGAGAGACACATCAATTGTTTGCTTCCCTCATGTGCCCCAACCAGGCCCAGGGATAGAACCTACAACCCAGGTACATGCCCTTGACTGGGAATGAAACCTTTGACCCTTTGGTGCATGGGCCAACACTCTAACCACGGAGCACACCGGCCAGGGCGACACACCATGTTTTGAAGTCTACACTAGAACTTCAAGAAAGCTTTTAATTCTGCTTTATAGTCATGCTATAGTTTCTTACTTCATCTTCTTGCCTAATCTACCAAAACCTATGTTAAACCTTTTTTTATTTTTTTAAAATTAACATATACTTTTCATTCTCACCCTTGGGTGATGATCCTATTTCCTACTAACAAAGTCTCTCAGCATCGCAAATACCCACTGCAGCCCTATCTTGATAGATGGCCCCTGGCTCTCACCTAAAGCAGCAATTCCCGGCATGGTAGCCCCTGTCCACTCTGATGTATCAGGGACACCAGCAGTTCTGTGCTGATGAACTGCACTGCATGTTATTCCCAAACCTCAGCCCCCAGTTCTAAGTATTCAGCAGTGTACACACTGTGAACTGATGTGTCAAATACAAATGGCAAATGCTAAGTCTGAAATTTAGGATTAAACAATTGAAGAGGAATATGAAACAACATGAAAACTAGAGAAGAAAGGAAAAAAACTAGAATTTTGTTAATTTTTATAGAACCTAGAAGAAGGAGGGATGGTCAACAGATACTTTATATAAAGAGGCAAAGCCAATACTTTGCCCAATGAACTGATATCAC